TTATGTAAAGCAATAATGCCATTTATATAAATAATTAAAATCTCATAAAATGTCTTACCTTTGTCTAATGTCGGTTAATTTGTAAACATTTCAGAACAATAAATCAATGTTGGACTAATGATTGAATCAAAAAACAAGATTTCTTATCTGCTGGGACACGGTAACCGGTAGCCACTTCATGTTTTGAGCTTTCTTGAATTCATTTATTCTGACTCATATTCTTCGGTTATAAGGTTGAATAGGTGAGAAAACTATTTCTGCATTCAATGTTTTGTCAAAAAATAGTTAAAGTGGATAGACACGCACAAAAGTTGTTTTAACCAATGTTCAATAATTTATACGAGATATAATTTTTTATACATATATGTGATAAATAATATTAATTAAGCTTGAGTTTGATCAATAACGAAATAGTTATTTTTTAGTAAAAAGTAGTATATTTACTTTCACAATAAATATGTTTATTCGTACATGTAGTGTTTTCATATGTATGATTTTATGAAGATTGAACATGTGCTTTATATGAGACAACATTTCTATTTATGGACAAAACATATATAAGACAAAAGACTTAAGATGACAACACTTTTCTTTGTCATCTCAAGTCCTTTAAAATTTTCTTTCTTTCTTGATATTTTCAGAAAAAAATTATCAATGTTTATCGTATCTTCATTGCTTACTAAAATGTCACACCTTATCTACCTCTTCAACCTACTCTTTAAATAATTTATACTGTAAGAAAATAGACATGTACATGTACCATTTGATGTCAGATTCAGTGATTTATTTATTATCTGTTGGCATATGACCGCAAAATTCCAGTAATCTGCATAAGATATGTTTGACGGGTACAACTGATATATAGAAATACCCTTCAGCAGTGACTGAATCGATAGCTATTTAAATGGAGAACATTTTAGTTTGATACTTAGACGTTTTATTAAACCAGACACTCGTACGTAGAAAAGGACATATAACTCACTGATATCATTAACGAAACATTCAGTATGGCTAGTTGTTAGTTCTACTTTATTAATTAGTAGATGTCTTACATAGTATGGCCTTAAGCCTTTGAATATCATAGAGTTTGTTAACGAGCACAAAGACAACATGCACCTTGCCATGATGAGAATTAAGCCATACGTGTAAAATATTTAAAAAAATCTACAGAATTATGTCAGAATTACAAAGTTCAGAAGGTTGAATATCTTATTTTGGATGTCATTATAATAGGGGATATTTGGAGTAATGAATACGGTATCGTAAAATTAATTCTGACCCTACTAGCACATTGCTATAATTATTTTGATTCCTTTGCCGTTTTTCTCAGAATACAGTGTGTCCATTTATATCCTCAGCCCTTGCGGTTAATACAAATCTGTCTCAATAAATGTCAACCGTCATGGTGACGGCTGCTCAATTTATATATACTTTTAATGTATGTTTTAGATGAAAATAAATTACAGGTACTTTTGAAAAAAAGGCAATTAAAAAACGTACTTTAAAAATAAACTAACAGGTATTATTGCAAAAAAAAAGGCAATTAAAAAACGTACTTTGATGTGTATATAAAAGTATTCTACAAACCCAATACCCTATGACATTGTTGGATGAAATGTTTGAAGCATACAAGCGTGATGGGACAATGATAAGGACAATCAGAAAGGTTATCTAATTTCCTTGAACCGCCACTTTTGACTGTATTTTTAAACTGCTAATAAATGCTAATGAAAAACCCGTAGGATTTTATCTAGATCGTCTGGTACCTTATTCAAGTACACGGAAACTAAGTAACTTCATGAGATCACAAATTCATTGTTTGTGTACTTTGGCAACTCATAAAACCTTAGAAATACGACTTCGAAGTCATATCAAGTGAACATGTATAATGAATGAGACTCATAAAATGTCAAATTAATTAAAATATATTGCGATATTATACATATTAGTAATTTAATTTGCAGGTTGTTTTTGCAACTTTGTAATTGATTGAAGGTAAACATGAAGGGTAAACTATATGAGGTGTATTGATTTCTTTCTACATGGCACGAAACAAATGAAAATGGACATATTTAAATTTATACTTATGCCCACGGTTTCACCTTATGCCAAAGGTTTACTCGCTTTGTAGTTATTTTCTATCTTCGGGAATTGTATTTTTTTGGTACCTCATCACCAAAGACCTGACAATTTAAATACAAAATTTCATGCCGATGATTTAGTTGAGCAGTTTGAAAAAACCGCTTTTGTGATTATTAATAGCTAAGATTAGGATATTCTATCATTCACATAATTATTTACAATATGTACCATATAAGTCTTCTTCTAGCAAATATCTGTCAATAATTTTTGTTGTTATTCCCTACAGCATTTATTTTGTAGTCTATAAAATTTATTGAGAGAGTGCCTAAAAATTACAAAATTAAATTGGATAACATTAAATAAAATATAAATTTTACTTTATTTTATAATAAAATAAATCAATCCATTGAAAAGTTAAACTTTAAAATACTCATTTTGATATGTAACCGATATTATTGACAAGTCAATTATGCGTGAAGTAATTAAATTAATAGTAGGTGGCGTTGTTGGTTGTGAAAACACGACACCTTGTTAAATTTCAGTGAAAACTGTTTCATTTTGACTTTTAATGTTAATAATTATATGTTATAATGTCGTTTGACTTTTAAATATGTGTATTAAAGAATGTTTGGAACATTATTTTACACATTTCCTAAATAGGCTCGGAATTAATAGTAGTCATGACAAAAATTTTAGTTAAAAAATTAAATTTTCAAGACTATGTAAAATGGGGAGGACACTGGCTCCTGCAACACAGTGTCTACTAGTGTAGGAGCCAGAGAATCCTGAAATTAATGTAATGTAAGCTTAATGTCAATAAAAAAATAATTGAATTATTATAATAAGCTAAAAAGATCATCATTTACCTAGTCTTATTAGAATATTTTAAACTTCTGAGGAAATTTATGTATAATCGATATTCTAGTTCAAATTAAAATGGTATACAAACTAGCTTTCTTGCAAATAAGATATTTGTTTGTATTAACGACATAATCTACATAAAAACGCACCTAATTCCTTAGTTATCCCCAAAAAGTGAAACAGAATATTACTTTTGACACCATTCTGTACAGAATACGTAACATATTATCATATAGGTAAATTTATTCTCAATATCTACAAAGGGGCCCAATATGGCATGGTGACATACCGGTCCGATAGCTGCGGTGGGCAAGCCGTACGTTCTACAGGTACGTTCTATCCTATGGGAAGAAAATTCTACTGTATTTATAAATCTACAGTATTGGTATGAAACGGACCTTATTCTATTCTTGTTAATACTAGTATTTTATTTTATATGCAAGAATATAATATCTTACAATTTTAAAATTCAAGTAAAAATAAAGAAATGAAAGATGATGACACTAGACATGTGACGAAGATTTATTTCAGTACTTTATATAAATTTAATATCTGGCTTTTTAAAATCGTGAGGATTTGTATAAAATATTTTTTTTTATCGAATCGAAAAAGTTTTCGAACCGTTAAAAGGAAACTAACTAGTAGACAGAAGATAATACAGGCAAAAACAGATATTGTCGTAACTTCTTTCAGCTATATATGCTTTTCAGTCAGTTGTAAAAGTTAAAATTATAGAGAGATGCACAGAACAAATGATCGTGCTCATCACACAAGTGCCCTGTGTGGATTTCGACTCTTGCTTGGCAGTCAAAATGGCAATTTTGACTGGGCTGTTTCTCTGATGGTTCTGAAAATTCTGAGTTTTTAAATGGTGGCTAATCTTTTTTTAAGACTTTGGTGTTGCTCAATTTCTCCTGAAAAGTAAAAAGATCGAAAAAAATATCCCGAAGCACCAACTTGTCAGTTAACTTGTACTTTTTATAATGATTTTTTTGTATGTCTTAAGTCAAGAGAAGGCTTTGCTCTGTTTATAGTCTACTTGTCAGATGGCCTACGATAAAAACTTATCTTTACAATATGCACGTGATGTTCATAGCATTCCTAAAAAACCCTCGGGGTTCATTGCTTCTAAGGCATAACTGTTTAAAATTCGTTAAAATTATTTACATTCAGTCATGCTAATTTCTGTGTCAACTCAATGTACAAAATTTTTGTTCGACGGTCACGATTTCTATGTAAATATTTTATATTTACGTCTTTGTTAAATAAATTATCGGAGAGGATTTAAATGATCTCGTTCATTTAGCACAGCTAACATTAAGATTAACAACTTAGATCATTTAATTATTTCGTCCCATATATATAAATAGTGGATGTTTTTTATTTTACCATCGATTACTAGCAGTATTTAAAATACTTTTTTTCTTTATTCAATTTGTTATGATTGCAAGCAAATGAACGGGTTACCTAGATGATGGGTATAATCTTTGTCAATGCGTATTAATGCGTACTAAAATCACATAGTAATAACTAAAAACAGTTTGCTCGCATTGTCGTTCTCCGTGTTTAGGTCGCGCCATGGTGGGTAAAACTTTATATTCTAACTAATTCATTCAGACTGGACATTTATCAAATAAAGCAATTGTAATTACAGTATGGTAATAAATAGTTATCACGCTGTACGAACTTGTGAGATCAACAATAGATCCAGTGATCTGACTTCATATGACTCGAGATCTGAGATTACGCAAGTTTTTACGACTTGTGTTGTGTTTATGAATGCTATTATTTAAAGTATTGCTTTGCATGCAACAGGTGCAAGTTAATTAACACCTAGTATATCTAAGTTCACTCCCGCCCGACAGAAAGTTATGAGCTACATATATATAGTATTTGCTAACTGCTACTGACATATAGGAGCGGTTGGCTACCGTTTTCTCTTTGTAGTAAATAATAAATAAATATAGTACTTAACACCAGCAAAAAGTTACTTAACTTATATGTTATCTAACGAATGTCAACTTGTGGTTTATCAACCATTGATAATTCAAAAGTACTTACTTTTCGCTCTTGTCGTAGGTGGGGAATGTCTGGTGAGTCAAGTCCTGCAGAGAGGAGCTAGTTTGTGGCTCAGCAGAGATTCCCTGTGCTCTTTGCTTCCTAGGAGCTCGCGATCCTCTAGCATACTGCTGGTATGGGAAAACGCTCTGCAATTTGTCTAATTGCGAGCGCAGTTCCAGCATTTCCTGGTCCCGTTGCTTTAGCAACGCCTCCAATTCCCTAATTCGTTCAATTAGTGGTTGCATATCGTTTGCCATGGTTGCATTAGCAACGCAATTTTCAGAATCAGCATTCATTGCACTAGGAGTCCCCATTATCCCGTTTAATTCAATCTCTCTATATGTTTCGTTTAAAGCACGTCTATCGCCGTTCACTGTAGGCGCCACGGTAAGCGCTCCTCCTCCTGTGTTCACTAAGGCCCTCGGCTCATCGTCACCAGCTGTTCGCTGTGACGATCCAAAGCAGAGGTTATCAAAACACACGCGCATTCACTCGGTTACCGAGCACTGACAGGAACCACTAGGGATTTCACTTGTTTTGTCAAAGTTTACGTTTTAGTAGAGTCCACTAGCACTATCGGTGTGTAACGGTCCTTAAACACAGGCGGGCTAGGAAGTACAGGAAGAGCGTGGGTCGTGTGCGTGCGAGTCGTGCGGCGCGGGCGCGGACGAGCGGAGTAATGTAGATACGCGCGCGCCGCCTGGTCGCTGCTTGGAGTCAGCCCCGCGTGCCTCGCCACCGCCCTGAAAATATACAATTTATTATTTCACCACTATATTTCTTATCACTTTTTAACTTTGTTCCATTCACAAAATTGCTTCTTTTACTCTAAATTCACTTTAATATTATCGGTTATAACGATATAAAAGTATACTGATAAATTAATCAAGTTTATTGTTGTTTTGTTATCACAATTTGAATTTTAGAACGTAATCTTTGTCTCAGACTGTCGAAATTTTATGTGCATTTCTTTCTAAATTACATTCCAATATCACAAGGAGTCTAAAATAAATTATTTTGTTCGATATATGGTGATATGCTTTGATAAGGTTGTAGACTACTTAATTTGTATAAACTACACGAGGAAATCGTCTAATCAACTTTAATTTAAAAATCAATATTAAGTAGTAGCGGAAAAATGGAAGGAAAATGTTCAGCTCCTACCTAAGTATATATCTACCCACTTGAACGTTAAGCGTGCATCGTCTTATCAAAATGTTTTTAACTATCAACTTCTGAAGTGATTTCCAACACAATTGATGGCTTATCAACAATCAAGTGAGTTTTAGGGGCGATAAACGCTGTACCTATCTGTTTACATCTGGTTAAAGACCATTGATCACCTGATGCATACGCAATATTTCTACCACATGACTATTTGTATCTAATCGTTAATCTCATAATAGACATAACGCAACTGTCCGATAGTCTTTGATACAACAAGAGAGATGTTAGAATTCTTTTATATAAAGGAAAACTCAAATGTAAAATAGCCGTGAACTAATTTCGGTAAAAAACATACCTACTATTTATTAATCGCCTCTTTGATAGTTAGTTTTAGTAGTAGCAAGAAAAGTCATTGGTAACATTGACCTCAAAACTAATCGTTGTTTACGATACGAAGTATGTAGTAGTAATATGGCACAAATTTTCCGAGATGGAAAGTCTTGTATTATATGTAGCTATATAATATAATGTTACTAATCATACTAACAGTGTAACAGACGTTGCGAGGGATAAGAACTGGTTACAAATAATTACGAGCCACACATGTACATGTAAATCAAACGTGATAGTTACTCATAAAGAGTCAGTCTACAAACGCTCTATATTAAGAAATTAATCTTATACAGTCGTGTTTGAGATTGATTTCTAAGATGGTACTGAGAAGATTAAAATCAATAGTAACAAACATAAGCTGAAAGATTGAAAGGTGACAAGTTTGATTCTATTTATTAACTTTTGCTGGCTCCTAAAGAAAGTGAATTTAAATATAGAATAGACATTTAAAAGTAAGCCCTCTCAACTGTATAAATAATACGGTATTAGTAAAGAAAATATAGAAGATACGACACAGCCGGGGCAAGCAGCCAACATAAATGAAAATGCGAAATCAAAGCGATATTAATTAAATATATGAATTATTGAATAATTTTAAACTGCCACTTTTATAAAACATGCACGGGTAGTAATTAATTGTATATGAAATTATTTATTTTTAACAGAACACAGCTACGAGTATACTATATTTTGAAGTCGTTTAAGTATTTACTAATTGTCATAAAATACGCCCAAGGCTTTAGGTAATTTCTGTACTGCCAAACCTGAATTGAAATTCTGACCATTAGACACTTTCTGAAATTCTGAGAACCCATCTATATTTCTTTGAAATTTAATAATAAGTCTTTATTTTCATAGGTGTTTAATAATATGCCTAAATCTTTCACGTCTTTTTTAAGACTCTAGACAAGTTTCAAGAATTATACACATTCTTTATTTTTGAAATTGCACGAAATAGACATGTTTGGTCGCATGTCAATAATGTTTAAATTAAAACAAAAGTGATCAACACATTCTACAAGTATTCGATTAACAATGTCTGTCTAAGGACGAACTGAAGACATTGGTATAATGACATGATAATCCAAAGCGGCCTTACTCCAGTTTATTTGTAGGTGGTTCTTGTTCCGCACTTAATTGTGATTATGTGGTGGGTGGTACATAAAACATCATGAAAGTAAGAGTACTTGACAGTTAATATGCACACAATTGTTAACACAAGTATGGATCCAAATGGCACGTCGGTCATGGTAACCGAGAACTGTCATACACAAGACCGCGGCTACATGGATGTATTTAACTTTTAAATAATTACTGTACACGTAAGTTTACGAGTCTTCATAAATTAGAGTCAGCAGCAGACAGATAAGTTCCAGGTTACGTAAACAGTCCAGAACCAACTCCTCACCTGGTGTAAAAAGCATAAATTTGTCTAGTATTAAGCATTTTTTATTAGAATATAAAATATATTATAAATTCTTTAAACTTATTGCAATGTTGTAAAGACTTGGTGATTACCGTTGTAATTTATAATTTCTATGCACATCATTTATTTAACTAAAATTACACTAAGTGTGTTTTAAACTATGTAATATATGGTGGTGTTGCTTTTCACATAAGCTCTCTAAATATTTTTTAAAATAAGTCAGTGTTTGTTTTAGTTCTCAGCTTTATTATCATCATTTTATTTCTATAAGAAATAAAGACTAAAAAGGATTAGCCTATCTGAAATATGGCATAAAATGTTGAGAAATAATATAACATGGTTTAATTTTGTTTATCCTAATTATATTTACGCATAACATTTTAATTTTTTTGGCAAAGTTTCTCATCATAACTAATCATACTAAAGTTTGAGCATAATTATTTTAAGTATAAATTTATTTCCGCCTAATATTAAAACATAATTTTTACGGGCATCACTAAAATATGCACAGTAATAAAGTCTCAAATGTAAGACACCATTTTTAAATGTAAATTTGTTGTATATACGCGAATGAAACATGTCGGTGGCTTAGGGATGGCCCAAGGGCCACCGCCGCCTCACCTTAAGCTATTGCTACACATTCCATTATTCCTATTTATTTTTGAGCCTAAATACTATTAGGCTAATAGTCATTATGTCTTGTTAAAATGTTGCCAATACAAATTAGGCTAAAAGATAATTATGTCAACATAAACTGAGTGCCATGAAAAATTATGGCATAATATTATTGTGCCCAAAAAATTATGCCAAAACAGTTATGCAGAAGTATTTTAGAAAAAAAAACAATGCATAAAGAAGGAATCCCATCTGAAATGAATAGTATATAATTAAAAGATATAAAATAATGTATGTGCAGTAAAAATAATTAACTTTGTTATTCTTAGAATTTTGTAGTCAACATAAATAATATTTGCACAGTGCATTGCATGTCATGTTCATGTTACTTACGAACAGATTTTAAGATTAGTGATCTAACAAAATGTAACTGGTTAACCCATGTCATAGTCATAGGCATTAGTGCGTCAATATAGTTGTCTTTGAAACCTACATTTGTTCAACTAAATGCAGCATGTGAACCATAAGATTTTAGATTGATATTCAATATCTACTTGTTTCTTAGATTCCAATTTGTAGCATAACCATAACATATAAGCATGTAGGTATACTTTCTCAGTAATATTTCTTAAGTAGAACATCGAAGTGGATATATTGCGATTACATAACCTAAAATAATATATAAATACTAATACATAAATTTGTTTCGTTTGATGTTTACTTTTACACGTCGATACTTTAATCGACCGATGAAGGGATTTTCCATTTCTAGTCATAAGAACAGATATCTAAATAAACTCAAAGGTTTACGTTTATTTGATATAAGGGGACTACCCTGAATTTGAAATAAACGTAAACCTTTGAGTCAATCGGTAATCACAAGACAACCATATCTTAGGCAGTTCCCCGATGTCAACTGGTCCGCCACTCGAATAAGAAATTTTGGGTTGCTCACTAAGTCACTTCAACACTCAACATTGCCAGACTGACGACGATATGTTATCATTGTCTAATATGTAGCAGTGTTGTTACTAATTTTTATTTAACAGTAGTAAGGCGAATCGATTTGTGGAAAATGAGATAACAATATTTCACAATGTTTCATGCGTTTTATTTCAAGGTTAATTTTCACATATTTACGAATTTAAGTCAAAGAACTACCGTTCCGTAACTATCCAGATTTTACGTAAATTTTCGCGAAAATTTGTAAGTACCAAAATTTATCTTAATTTTCAACTTTTTTTATTTTTTGGAATTATTCCTTTATTTGTGCTGTAAGAAGTTTCTTTTTGCCAAATTTCGTGATTCTAGGTCAACGGGAACTACCATATCGACCCAAAACCTATAGGGAACTTCCGCTTGACCTAGGATTGTCAATTTTGGTTAAAAGCAAGGTCTTACAGCACAAGTAAAGAGAAGATTCTGAAAAATAAGAAAAGTTGAAAATTAAGGTAAATTTTGGTACTTACAAGTTTTCTCGAAAATCGAAATTTGTCCGTATCTTTTTATAGTGATGACTCAGGACCTTGATTTTTTACCACCTAATAGGGACCATAGACCTCAGTATCTGGTATAAATTTCAACTTGCTAGGTCTACCCGTTCCTGAGAAAATCGGTGGTGACACACGGACAGACAGACAGACGGACAAGAAAGTGATCTTATAGGGGTTCCTTTTTTTACCTTTTGAAGTACGGAACCCTAAAAATTAAATGCAAGTCCAGGCAGTTTTAATTTGAACTCAAAGTTATTGCTAAGTTTAAACGTTATCTCAATCAGGATTAGGTACTATAAAATACTACAACAGTAACAATTATTGGAACATAAGAAACTTAGGATCCATTTGATTCCAGATAAAATAAATGAAAACAAATTGCCCCTTTGAATAC